ATGCCAACTTTGTCTTCTTCTGCTCGGCCTCGAGTAACCAGCACATCTCCTGCTACTGGGTGCGGTACCGGCCTACCTGCTACTTGAGTGTTTTTACACTGCTCCAAGTGCCACGGGCCTCTGGCTCCGCCCCTTGAGCGTTTTCCCCTGCTGCAACCCTCAATGCCACGGCCACAGGTAAGTACTGGCCCTATGGGCCTGCCAAACAAGCAAGTACCCTTGTGGGTCACACACACACTCATGCCAACAAGCACTCAGACAGGCACGCAGGTCAACAAGCACGCACACACACAGACTTAGAAAACTCAGCAGAATGCGGGAATCTCAGCAAGGCACCCATTCCATCGGCAGAACTTCAGAAACCAGCAGTGTTCTCAGACTGTGCTATGGCGGGTCATTACACTACCCCCCCCCTCAAGAGGGAGGTCCCTTCGAGCGAGTAACTCAATCATAGTCCTTGCATAATGCATCATAAGCGTAAATGGCAAAGAGAGATCGGGTATGCTCCGTAGGAGTGAGGGTAGCAGTGAATTAGGTTGCTGTTCGGAGCTAATCAGTCGTTCATATGCGTTGACGACCCGGGGGGCACTCTGCAGCAAGTCTTTCTTAGCAATCTAGTAAAAGGCATTCAATGGGTGGTATAGAAAATGAACTTTGTATTGTCTGTTTCTCCCCTTTCCACTGTGCTCGACAATTCTATCAACCTCGTGACCGCCTTTGATCACACGAGGGATCATTGATTCTCGATACTTAAAAGGTTCGGGTGATTCATATAGAAACAACTTCGACGCATGAAAGCCTGGGTACGTGCGCAGGTGAGGAGGCACGTCAATCGTGTAAGAAGGACCAATGGAATCATCTCCTATTTGGTTCAGCACCTTCCACGGACTGTAATACTGAGGAAGAAGCTTTCGCGATACACCTTCTTCAGAAAACTCAGACATCTTGACCCAGACATAACTTCTCATTGTGAAAGGTTCAGGCTGGTGCTTTTTGTTAGCATGCTCCATCATGGCACTGCGTCGCCTTTCCATAGTTGCAACAACAACTTTGAGCAAACGACCAAACTTAGCACTGTAGCCTGGCTGGCCAGGTGTAAGGCCAGGTGGCTGGTCAGGAAACAGATAGGATAGGGGATTGCGAATTTGCCACCCGAGGTGCAACCGGTTAGGTGTCATTCCGGTGGAGAAGTGTATGGAGTTGTTGTACTACCCCTGCACAATCGCCAATTCCTCATCCCAAGAGTTCTGATCAAGGCACAATTAGAGCTCGAAGAAGTTGGATCACAGTCTGGTTGATCTCCTCGGCCATTCCATTGGCTTCTAGATGTCGACCAGACGTCATCTTGAGTTTGATTTCATAGATCTGGGAGGTGAAGTTCAATCTGCACTTTTGAACCTAGTGTCCCGGTCACTCACAAGAGTTTTCGGAGGCCCACACTGCAAAATGTACTTTTTGTGAAACTCTTTGATCACAAGGTCGGTTGGGGCGTGAGGTGGTAATGGGATCAAATTCAGAAATTTTGAAAAGCGGTCAACGATCACCATTACTTGTGAATATCCATTCCTACTCTTCTTTCCCATGTTCGTGAAGTCGATGGAAAGAGACTCACCCGGGCCATCAGGAATAGGAAGAGGATGCAGCAACCCATAGGGCTTGTACCGAGACAGTTTGATGGGTTGACAGACTTCGCACTCAGCCACAAACTTTCGTGCCATTCCTTTCATCCCAGGCCATACAAATTTTTGCAGCAGACCTTCATATGTCTTTTCAAAACCGAAGTGTCCACTCCGGCCATGAGCCAAGTCCAAGAAGTGGGTGAGGATAGGCTCATGGTTGGGTACACACAGTCGGTCGTACTTCCCGTAACGTCGGAAGAGCAAACCTTTGCACTCATGGAAATCAGGCAGACTGCTAGGGTCAGCTTGGATCTACTCAAGGATGGGACAAAGTTTCGGGTCCTTGGCAGTATGCTCAACTAGTTCCTCCTTCAAATTCTTACGGAGATCGTAGGAGCCCACAAGAGAAGTCATGTACTCAGGGTGGCGAGACAAAGCATCCACAACGCGATTGTTGTGCCTAAGTTCGAAATCATACACAAAGCATCCACAACGCGATTGTTGTGCCGAAGTTCGAAATCATACACAACAATCTCATGCAGCCAGCGTGTCAATGTAGTCGATGGATTATTCTGTGTCTGGATCCATTTCAAAGTCTCGTGGTTTGAGAACACTTTGAAATGGCGACCCAAGAGGTAGTGTGTCCAAAAACTCTCAAGGCATAGAGTTCTCGCATGTAAGTGGAGGCAGCTACCTTGAGACCGGGCATACGTTTGCTGTAGTATTCGAGCGGACGTAAGTTGTCGCCATCATCTTGCTGCTGCACTGCACCAATCCCATACAAGCTTGCATCCGTAGTTACTACGAATGTAAGTTCGGGATCTGCAATGTGGAGCACCGGATCACTCGCCAAAGCCTCCTTCAATGCTTGGAAGGTTATTGTGCATTCCCCCTCCCATGTGTAGGACACATTCTTGCTTGTCAATCTGGACAGCGGTCGGGCAATGATAGAGAATTTGGGTACAAACGGTAGTATGACGCAAGACCAGAAAAGAACGCAACTCACGGATATTTGCCCGTTGAGGCCATTTGCGGATGACCTCAACTTTGGTTGCCTCGGGCTCTAGGCCTGCAGCAAACAACCAATGTCCAAGGTAGATGACGTTGTCGGTCCCAAACTTAGATTTCTCCAAGTTGAGATGGAGTTGCGCATCCTTGAGGATCTGCAACACTTCCTCAAGGTGTCTCATGTGCTCCTCCATCGACTTGCTGAAGATTGGTATGTCATCCAAATAAACAACAATAAAACGATTGATCTGATTGCGGAACACCTTGTCCATGAGCCTTTGAAAGGTGGTCAATGCATTCGCGAGGCCGAAGGGCATGACGGTAAATTCGTACAGCCCATCGCGAGTTTTGAATGCAGTTTTATGCTGGTCTGCGGGGGTCGACTTCAATCTGATGATAACCAGACTTAAGATCAATCTTGTTAAAGACCTTGCATCCACATGCAGCATCAAGCAGATCATCAATGCGCGGCAAAGGGTATGCATTCTTTCTTGTTATTCTATTCAGTCTGCGGTAATCGATACACATCCGTAGTTCGCCTCCTTTCTTAGGGACATACAGAACCGGTGCACCGAATTCGGATTCGCTTGGCTTGATCCATCCCTTCTCAAGCATGTCATCGATCTATCTTCGCAACTCTTCCAATCCGCCTGAGCCCATTCGATAGACACAGCCTTTTGGAGGATTGCTACCTTCTATCAACTCGATCTTGTGTCGGACGGGACGCAAGGGAACTCCATGCGGTTCGGCCAAGACTTCAAGAAAATCGGTTGAGAAGGTTGCGGA